AAAAATTTTTTTTTTTAATTTTTTTTTAATTTTTTTTTTTTTTTTTTTTTTTAATATCTTCATTGTCAACGCGACAACACTTCTGCTATTAATTTTTTTCTAGGGAATTAATCGCTTATTCGAATTCGACGCTCAACGTCCACAGTCATTAATTTCATGCAACTTTATTACGTGCTTGACATAGGGTTATCAGCAGTTTGCATTTTGTCATTCAACATGCTGCTCCACACTTCATTGACGTGCATAACCTGCAACATCGTACCGCGTGACGTATCGCATAAGTCGAGCGTATTAACGTGTTTCGGTAACTCAATTTCCTAATTTATGTATATCGGCAATGTAACAGATGTATTTGGAAATTTTGAAAAATTTTGATAACCATCACAGAAGAAGGAAGTAAGCTGAGTTCGTTAAGACTCGTTACGACATTATTGGGACGTATCTGTATGGTACTTTTTTTTTATTAATGATAAAGCATCTTTATCACGGATAACAGATAGGCTCTCGAAAAATATTTACTCTTCGTAACGATAGTCACTCGGATAATAAACAGTCTTGAGATTATATACGATTCGTCTGTAATCATTATTTTGATTTACTTTTCTAATTCAAATTTTGACTTAATCATTTAATTGATAAATCATTGTTATTATTATTTGTGATTATGTGTCTACTATTTTTTTTATGTGTAATCAGAATAGTTATTAATAGCGTAAATAAATGTTTTTAATTTCCTATCGAATTGACGCAATTTCTTCTTTGTGATTTAATCACAAATTTTATTTTTTTTATTTTTCTACGTTACAGTTCGACAGTTCGAGTCTTCTACGTTACTTCGATCTAGGCGTTCGAGTTTGATGATTATTGCGCAAATCGAAGGAATATACGAACTGTTTGTCGATTACTTTAATTTCACTAAGAATCGTATTTGATCTTTAAATGAACGACTGATCAACCAATATCGAATTTAACAAGAAAAAAATCGACGTTCGCATTTGTCACGATTCGACCTTCGTATTAGGCAAAGTGTCGCAGCGGAGTGGGACTGATCGAGTCAAGGTCACCGCCAGTGATTTCAGACGTTGGTCGTTTCGCGAAGAAAAAATATATTAGGACATACGTTAAAAGCCGGAATACTCAAATTTAACGAAAGTATTGAGCCACAATAATTAAAATAATTATTCAATGAAAATTTTTCATAGAAACAAAAGCATCACTTCGAGCCACAGGACATCACACACGCATCACTTCGAGGCACTGGACATCACACACATTCTTCTTTTCTCTTTCTATTTTCACGGACCTACGTAACACGAGAATCCGCAATTTTCTTCGCGCACAAACAGATTCGCATTCTTTTATTCGTGATCGTGCAACACGATAAATTCGCAATAACACGAGTTGTCTCGGTATATTTATGGCTCGAATGCCGGATTGGCTGTGTAAAAAATTTTTTGCTTCAAATCACTTTACCGCTCTTTCGAAATTCTGCAGCAATGGCAAAGAAATTTCGAAGTCATAAAGAATTTTGATATTTACGCGGAAATAATCTTTACGCGTCTCCCTTAAGATTTTATGTGAACTGACATCGCGATCTGCGACGCTCACTTAGTGCTACTGTCCTGACACGTATCCCCACCATTGTCGCTAGCCTACCTTCGGCACTCGACTGATTGCTTCATGAAAATTGCACTGGAGTATGTTTGTCGTTGTTAAAAAGAAAAAAGTATCTAGAATTGAATATTATTAAGATATACAATTTTCGAATCGATCATCTATCGAGGATATTACTCTCACTTTGGTTAAGAACGCAGCAGCCTTCAATCGTTGAGATTTTGCTATGCATTTTTTTTTTAAGGTTAGATTTTAAACCGAAACCGACGCTACCAACTTGCTATTCTCTTTCGGGATTTTAACTGCTTCTCTTTCTCTTGTTACACTCGTCCGCGCTCCGTGACACGAGTACCACTTTCATCCTGGCCACAGACGCGTTTTCATTTAAACGACAGAGCGAAAGTGCACGTTCACTTTTGATAATCCGTCGCTCCAGTTTGTTGCCGGCTATATTCTCGTTGCTGTACAGTGTGAGTCGTCTGGCTCGGCGGGCTCGGCCGACAGACCACCCGCGCTCATGTTTGTTTTTCTAGTTTGCGCGGGAATTTCGAATATCGTCGGTTGATTTAAAATACATTTTCTTTTCACGTCGAACGTAAAGTCTAAAAATTTCTTAAAATTTCTTTTCCTTCGACCAACGACCGTCTTCTTCCTCGTTCCACTGAATTTCAATTTTTGGAAGTACTTGATCCCGGATAACTATTACGAGGTTGAGGTACCGACACGTCATCTCGGAATTACCGTAACGAAGTCACGGACGCTATTTCTGAAAATGAACTTGGTGCCATTTAAATTTTTATTTTTTTTTTCTACGTACCGTCTTTCGAGCGTGTCCATTTATTCAGCGATAAAATGACATTCTCTTAACCGGTGAGAAATGGTAATGAAGAATTTTGCCAATAACATTTGGTATTTTCAAGACAAAGTTTTTCTAAGAAATACAAGCAAAAAAACTTTTTTCGAATAATTACTTTCAGTCACATGGTTTCGTAGTTTGATTTATGGTGCCTGAATTTTGAATTTAATTTTTTTTACGTTGCCAACGCCCTACTGTCGTCACGTCATAACGACGATGTTACTGTAATATGTATATTACTTATGTATATAATAATAATAAATATAATAATATATATATTATATTATTATTGAATGTTTTTATTATTACAGATCCATGCCTTTACATTATACGATTCGCGAACAGATTGGAATTTGGCGAAAAAACTCACGAAGTCTCCATGACCGCCTTACGGGTCGTTCAGCGGATGAAGAGGGACAGCATCCATAGTGGCCGTCGGCCGTCTGGATTGTGTGGAGCTGGTGAGAAAAAAAAAAAGAAAAAAATCTATTTAACAGATTTGTGTGCAAATTTCAAATATGAAAAGAAAAAAAATTATCGTCTGCCGCGAGAGAAATAAATGTCTTTTTTCATTTTCATTTTTATTAAATATTTATGACCTCTCGACTCGCATATAAAATTTACACGTTGCATAATGCCGCTCGTTAAATTAACTTAATACGCCATTTGTACACACGGGCTGTTGTGTTAATATATTTTTTTTCACCTGTTTTTATCAAAGTAATTTCCGCTGTTTTATTTTGATCCCTTTTTATCGCTACAAGATAATAACAAAAGATTCTCTCTTTGGGGTGAAAAATTAAAAAGAATTTTTTCTAATCCTTTTTCTTTTTCTTTTTTTTTTAGCGCTCTTGATGGCCGCCAGGTTACACGAATTCAACAGATCGCCCAGCGATATAATTAAGATCGTGAAAGTTCACGAATCGACTTTACGCAAAAGGTACAGAAAAATGTTTGACACTGTATATATTGTTGGACTAATTTTTTCAATACCTATTTACAAAGACAACAACAGTGTCAATGTAATTTTCAAATGACAGCTGACTGTTTTTATTATTTGCCTTTACAGCAGACCGTCGGTAAGTGAGCGCTCTTGGTCGGTAAAGTAGGACGATACGACGAAAACGATGACTTAACGAGAGACTTTATTTTCAGAGTTATCAGAATTCATTGTTTTTACTTGTTTTCGAATGCGCAGTCCTTCCGCTCTTGTATATATACAACAATTGATTTGGTAGCTGATAGCGGGGATGCTCCGTGATACAAGAAGATGCTTGCGATTGAAGAAGAAGCGCTCAGTTAACGGGAGTCCTACCGTATACGTATATGTTTACGTATAAGTATATATTTACGTATAAATGGGGTTGGCAGTTAATGAAAAATGGCAGCATTAGAAACAGTCGGATAGTCGTTAGTGCAAAGTCTCGAAGTATACTTTGTAACTTTATGTAGTAGATTACGAGAAAAAAGGACTGATTGTTATGTAATTAGCCGGTGATATGAAAAAATTGTGATACGACTGTAGGAGAGAGATTGTAAAATAATAGCGGAGCAAAATTTAAGATTTAATTGTTATATTCGTTACTGGAAGCAATTTTTAATTTACAGATTAATTGAATTCGGGGACACGCCTTCCAGTGCTTTGACCTTGGAAGAGTTCATGACGGTAGACCTTGAAGAGGAGCAGGATCCCCCAGCGTTTAAAGTTGCGCGAAGAAAGGATCGTGAACGTTTGCAAAAGGTAATTAGATTATTATTTCTTTTACGTTGGCCCTACTGGCTCTTAGGAAGAAAAATGATGTATCGGAGACGATGCTATTTTGTGGCGCCAATTTTAAATGTATTAATACACGTCGAACTGCTATTCATTTTTCAGCTGGAGAACATGGGTATGGAGTTCAACGAGCTGCAGAAGGAAATTGAAAAGCAGTTGAACGAACAAAAATCAGCGAAAGGAAACCGACGGAAAGAATGTAATATATTTGTAATCTGCGAGGAAAATATGATAATACGAAGATGACAATAGTCTCCTGAGAGAGTTATCGCGAATGAATTGTAATTCGTCAGGCGTTCTTGAAATTTATCAGCCAATTGTAATTGTCGACTTCTCGAGGTCTCAGGACGCATGAGAAATCCTTATTGTCATTTCTAGATTTAATTGTCCAATTCAACTGTTCAATTTACATGCTGATTGGCTGTTTAAAGTCTGCCGCTTAAACGCGATAAAACGTTGCTCCTATGTTTTCACGTATTCACCTGAGCTAGTAATTGACTTAAAAGAAATATCATAATTGTAAATACGTTTTAGCGTCCATTGTCGAGGAATTGGATGCTGATAGATTTATCACGGAATCAAACTTGAGCGTTATTCAACATTGCATGATTGGGGATCCCGACGATCCAGTTGAAGAAGCTCCGAGTCCCACGTCATTGCAATCCAGTAACTCATTAATCACTGGACTAGGTATATCGAAATTTCATTTATACAATTTGATATATCAAAAATCTGTAATCAAGCGTTGTAACGCTATCCGATAAAGTAGGTATATGGAGTTTGGATAATATTGTAAAAGAAGAAATTGTATTTATGAAAAAGCGTCAAACAATTTTCACCAAATTAACGCTTGACAAGTTCTGATTTCTATTGCGAACTTAAAATTGTGCCAGTAAGATTTTTCTTTACTTTGCCAAGGGGGAGATAGCCGGAAGTTTTAAAGGCTTCCTTTTTTATTTGAAGCTCTTTTATGGAACTCGTGGCGGTGGCGGCTGCTGCTGTTTTAGTTAAAGTTTGTGACCTAGATCTTTCGTGTATTTAGTCGTATTCACGGACCAATGGCCGAGCGCGAAGTTTTTCTTGGTTTTTGTATTGTATATACAATCACTGGTCGATTCTAAATGGTTCTTCTTATATCTTTCTTGTATATTTGTTGGTTCTTATGAAAGGAAGGCATGCGAATTTGCGGTTTCCATCGAAATGTCGAGCTACTAGTTTTTGTATGAATTTTTTCTTCAAAAACTAACTAACGCTTTCATTCGCGCTCTCTTGAGCGTAACTTTTCCTCTATGGTTATTCTACCCTATTTCTCATGCTGAAACTTTGTTATCTTCTTAGCGATTACAGTGGATGTTTTATTGATAATAGTCGTAATTATTTATGCAGAGACTATTCGGCCGCTGTATAATAAATAATATTTGAATTTGAATTTTAAATTCGCAAATGCAATTTCTTGTATAATTTATATTTATTTTTTTTAGGACCAGATATAGCCTCTATGGGTTTGGCTTCAGCTTTGAGCGATCGAGCCAGTCTAACGAAGGAAAAGACAGATACGTCTTTTCAGATTGTAAGAATATACATTTAATTTGCTTTTTACCGTTTTACAAATATCACTAAGGTACGGTGTTTTGAGCGAGGAAGGAAGCAAAGAGAAATAACGATGCTTTGGGTTCTAGAATACCGAAGAGATTGACATAACGGATTTCGATGACGACGAATTGGATGGTTATATATTGACAGAGAAGGAGACGCAATTCAAAACTTCATTGTGGAACAAAGTCAATGCACAATATTTGGTGGAACAAAAAGGTAAATGAAATTTAGTAGCAGGTGTCACTTGGGATATCCAATTGTTTAATTATATTTGTGACGTGTGAATGACACTAATGAAATTCCAGAAAAGGAGGAGAAGCGTCAGAAGGAGAAGGAGGAGGGGAAGCCAGAGAAAAAGAGGAGAAGGACGACAACAAAGAAAAATAAAAATCAGACACCAGCCAATAGTGCTGGTGAGTTTGGCATTTCTTGTATTTATCTCTACCAATGAGGAACCTTTTTTCATTCACATTCTTAAGTCAATCCTGACTTTTGTGGTTTCTGCTAGAGTCTTCAGGAATCAATGTGTAAGGGTATCTTCACATGTCGAACGAGCTTGTGGGTACAGTGGGAAATAGCAATGATGCTCCGAAGTACCATTGTAAATTAATGCTATTATACTGTACACGGGAAGGCCATTTTTGGTCGTTAGTGTAAAAGACTGATAACTCGGAAAACTGTGATTGGTCGGTTTCGGTCTTTATTAAAGGGTTATCCGAAAGAACGTTCTCATGATGATTGATTCTGACCAATGAGGGATCTTGGTTGTCTGAGTGATCCATCTTGTACGATTAATTTGTTCGACGTGATTTTTGCCATTTCAGGGGAGGCCATCGAGAAGATGCTTCAAGAGAAAAGGATATCATCAAAAATAAATTACGAGGTTTTGAAAAGTTTGAACGTTGGTAGCACTGCCGCAAGTGGTCAGCAACAGAAAGCTCAAGAATCAATTTTGATGTCGCCAAGACGACCGGAAGTTGATAATGTTCTGGGCGTCACTAAACTGTAAATACTTAAAACTATTTATTTTACGTATTTAACAAATAATTATTTTAAATAGTTATATGGTATATCCTCAATATTTGTTCGTTTCAAAATGTGAATATTTTTTTACTTTATCATACTTGTTAGCTGCTTTTTTATAAATTTAGTGTGATTGACCTTGTTTTTTTACAGCAATTCAATGTCACACAATCAATTGGGCGACTCGCCAGTGAAACAATCAAGAAAGTTACAAACGCCAAAAGTGAACGTGAAACGAAGAAAGAAAGAAGAAATAGGATTTCCGGTAGGGTCTATCGATGAATCAACATTGAAAGTGGAGGATCAGTCGCCCGCTGTACCAGTGGCTGATGTCAATGATGTCGGTAAGATGGCGCCATGCACAATGAAAAAATTTTTTAATAATCCGTACATATCAAATATCCAGTTTTTAATTTAAAAAAAAAAAAAAGGAATTCGTTATTCGTACAATTTTTTTGTACCACGTGTCACGGTGATCTTTCTCTTTTATTCTCACAAATTAAAATCTAGCCTCGCGCCAGTCATAATACTCAGAACATATTTCACTGTCAGAAGAATTCATTGGGATTGCAGCCTTTCTATTTGACCTGGCCTGTTTTTCTTTTATTTTGCATTTAATTTTTTCCCTCTTATTTTCTCTAGGTCCACGCTTCGCCACTGCGTTGATGTGGCGCTGCTGTCTGAGCCTGAGAAATTTCATAAGTCGCTTTACGAGCTCGTAAAGACTGACGATGGGAATTCTCATAAGACAGTCGAGCGTTGAGTTACTCTGTATACACGATAGCTTATTCAGTTAGCAGCCCAGTATGCTAGTTATTTAAGGAATGCAATAATGTAGGGGGCAGCACTGTGGTTCAGTAACATAAGTTTCAAGCGACAAAATATTCGGACCCAAAAGATATCGGTTGCGAATTTTAGAACTCCTCGTTTTCTTTGCGTCTAACCTAACCGATTTCGCGTAATTAGCCAAAAACAAACGTAACTCAAAGTGCATATTTTCTTCTTTTTTTTTTCTTTTTATTTTGTCGCGTGGATATCTTTTTGTGATAGCCAGCAATTATTTAAACCCTTTTCGTTTTTCATCCGTTCATTCGTTTGACGTATACATTTCAATACTAATCTGCCTTCGTGAAAGGATTTCTTTTCGTAATAATAATCGAAATATCCAATAAAAAAAAAAGGAATGACAAAAAATAGTACACCCCCCGATTCACTCTTTTCTTTGGTTTGTCTTCTTTTTAATTTATTAACTGTACATCGCCCACGCTTCACCAGTTGCCTTTGACTCGTTTCGACAGACTATAAATAATTATTTTTGTCTTTGATGAAAGATAAAAAAATTGAAATATTCTCATAAACGCTCATTGCCATATATACGTTTGCAAATAACGGCAGGCGGAAATTAAGGAGCTTGTCCTGTCACGTGCGTGACTCGGAACGAAAATGTCAAATATGTACGTCAAAATTCCGTTTTGCCCGTCTGGATTTTTAAACAGGCCTAACAAAAGCTGATAAATTATTATTCGTATTTTTATTTAAATTATATCCTTACTGGATACAATGAGGAAGCAATGTAAAAAAATATACTTGTAGATGCAATTTGCATTTTGGGAGATCTATCAGAACCTAAACTAACGCTGGTGGCGACCTCTGGAACATTTTCAGGCACTACTAAAAGTTTACGTAATTTTACCAAACGAAGGAAAAAACTACTATTTTTTGCAAGTGTGTCCTATGGCATGGTGCTTTAAGGACAGTACTTATTTTTCATTACGCGACAAGCATCCATAAACAACAGAAGCATCCATATAAGCCACAAGTATTCGTACTTATTTGACCTCCCACGATATTAAACAATAAATATAAGTTGTTGCAGAATACTCTGAGGGGAGATTTCTTATATTGGATCACTCCCTCTTTTTTTTACTGTACGAATTGACATTATTCAATATCCACCCTTATCCGTATTGCCAACTTAATTTGAACGAAAAAAAAATGTAAAATCCGTTAAATATCAATTGACAATGCTAGAAACAATGTTAATCGTTAAAATTGATTTGTAATATTATTTTTTTTCCAGTTGACGATACTGACGATTACGTTGATGAAGATGTGGAACCTGATCCCATGGAAATGACTGTTGGCGAGATGCTGGGACGTCACACGGGTGATGACGATTACGAGTACGGATACGAGGATGAAGATTATTGAAAAATTAATATTATTTTATATCGTTAATATGTTTTCGGTCAGGCTAGTAGTATGGATATGCTATAAATATTCTAAATAGCCAATGAACGCTTTATAGATAATCGACTTAGGAAAATACAAATAATATGTATTACTGTATCTTGCACGAGAGGCTGCACAGATGAGTTATTCTTGCGATAGCCGTAAATAGATACAGTAGGAAAGTTGAAAGCTGAAATTGTAGTAGACTAGGTACAATTTAGTTAACGTGATAAGAATCGATAAGGATCCAACACAATTGATTCAGTCAGTACGTAACTGTTAACAATTTTATGGCACGATTGCGAAATTTTAACTTGACTCTAAGTTTATAAAACTTTGTATCAGATCTACTTGAACTTCGAAGATTATGTTTGAGTTCGTGTCTTCTGCTTCACTCCCCAGGGCAATTTACTATTGCGTGCAAACATTTCCAAAGCGAGTGGTGGTTTCATCCGCAAATTATTCAGTCTGTCAAGTATAGGGATACTTGATTGTTAGCATTTTAATAAGAGCGATAGTCCTTTCTTTTTTTTTCTTCGGCGAAACAAAATCTCTGAACTCCGGTATACTGGTAATGCAGTTGTGTTGATTTTTATGAGAAATTTATTATCATTGGCCATAACAGAAGAGACTGAAGCATTTTATGAGTTATTAATTATACGATATTGCTTTGGGTAGGGTTATTTATTTACTTGTACTTATATTCCAAATGGCAAAGTTGTCCTTGCATTTGTTTGCATGATATTTGGATAACGATTTTAGTACGTAATGTATGATTTGATCAATTTTGAAGTTGCTGACTTTTTTTTGGCTACTTTCATTTACAAGAAGATGGATTCTCAGACAGAAATTGATATCGATTTATAATTAAAGTTTAAGAAAGAGAAATTTTGTGACTGAACTAAGAATACCCCAGGTATACTTTTGCATGAGTTTGGGTTATTTGAAATTTGCCAATACAGTACATTTATAAATGTCAATATTAATAAGATTGGTGGAAGTGAGGGGATACAGAAGTTACTAGAATATTTGCTGAGTGCGTGTATATATTTATACTGTGTATATAGTAAGAATGAAATTTACCTTGATATGATACATATAAATACGACATGAATACTTTAAAAAAAAATGAATTTATTATTAAGCTAAAGTATTCGTGATCGAATTTCTAAAGTTGTACGAAAGTATGCACAACTGAGATTAGCTTCAAACAAGGAACTTCAAACTATTTACCCTGTTGAAGTCGCAAAACTTGTAGAAACAATAATTATAATTTTATTAAACTAATTTATTCTAGTTTAGTTAATCATATTGATAAACTACAGAAAACAAAAAGAGCAAAACAAAGTCTTAATTGTATGATTATATTTTATCAATGAAATAAATGATGCACAATTCTTCCTAATTTGTGAGGAAATGTCGATTGGCTATAACGTGTACAATAATAAATTCAATATATATAGAACGTTTTGAACGTTCATTTCTTCTGTTGCTCTTCTTGGCGTCCCATTTCCGGTGAAAACATTCCTTTTGCACGCGTGATAGAGTTAGTAATGGATTACGATAAAAGGCATTTTGTAATTAGTTAAAAATTATCATTGTACATCTTGCAAACGTACGATGGCAATGAATTTGGAATTTTTTTTATTGGCTTCTCAGAATTTGTGTATCTGTGCAGCATGGAGATGTGTACCGGCATTTTCCATCTGGAAAGACCAAGTTCGACAGCCGTAGTACGTTCGGGAAGTGCCGGAAGTTCCGCGAATTCTCTTCTCCTCTCTTCGCGAATTCCTGTAAGATGTTCATTGTTTCTATAAAACCGTAAGCGCCAACAGGTCCTAACGAATAAAACGTGCTTCGACGAAATCTGTGGAATTTCATTTAAAGGATTTCATTAAAATTTAAGTCTCTTTGGGTTTATCACACCAATGAACCGGTACAGCACGTAATACAATGGTAAAAGTTTAACATGTAAAAAATAGCCAGGAGCAATAATTAATATACATAAAAAATATTTTGAAAATTAATGTCACTTGATAGTGGTAAAGATACTTGCGTGTTATTCATGGTTGCGTGAAAATGGTACAGGAAGAATAACAAGAAAAGTTCCACATTATTTCCGTTGCAAGTACCAGTCGCTTATCGTGGACATTGTATCGGGTCACAAATACATTTTCGATTATCGATAACAAGTGAAGTCATTTATTTCGAATCATCGTCCACTTCGGGAAATATCGTACCTTTCGACAGGAAATTATAATAGAATATTTGGAAAGAATAAGTAGATTCTTTTCAAAATTTGATTAAAAATAATATCTGCCAAAGTGTTAGTGTTTACAAGAGATTGTCAAAAAGGACCAAAATCAGTACTTGCGTTCAAATTTATTTGTATCTTTCTATTATTAAATTTACCTCTCAACGCGTCATAATACTTGACCACTGCCCGTTCTTGCTTATATGTCTCAACACTTCCGGGTCTCATTACCCTTAATTGAACGATTGCCATCTCGGGTGTAAAATCTTGAAATCTAACTAGATAACAGGCGGCCATAACACCAGTACGACCTCTACCTTGTCGACAATGGACAGCGATGACCTAAGTTAGCATAGAATGATAAATTGGTAGACGACAGTGAAATTCAAAATTTATGATACGCTTAGAAACTCACGTCTTTTGTGAAATGTGCTCGCTGACAGATATCAATAAATTGATTGATCTCTTTAACGGTCGGTGCTTTAAATTCCTCAATGTATATCTGAGACCATTTCATTCCTTTTGGCAAATCATCGATCGGTGGCTTTCGTTCCATGCTTAACGTTATCAGATGCGTGATTCCCTCTTTTTCAAGAAATCGTAGATTTGCTGCGTTTTGTGGCCAGCCCGTACACGCGAGTTTGTCTTTAGGCGATTTCAAAAGGAAAAAGAAAACGTTACAAGTCTTAAGATTGTATCAATGAATATTCAACGTATTGTTATATAGGTTTTGAACAATGTAGATATTTAGGAAAGAAAAGAACAATTTCTTGTAATTTAAATACCTTACCTGGTACAACCCACGAAAAATTAAATGGCGCATACATGATGCGTTTCTGCGACATTTTTTGAGGTTATTCACTAGTTCTCTTTTACCTCCACTGTACTGTACTTGCTAACTTATTAGGCGTTAGTGACGCTTTTCACGAGTGTCTTCCGTCTCGATAATTTTTCACGAATGCCAGCTGATTTGATTCCAAGCTAATTGCTAGTAGCTCGTCCTAAAAATATATCCTTTGCAAATAGACACAGCCGTCTTTGCATGACGCGAGACTCCGTCACGCCATGCACTCATTTCTAAGATTCAAATAGAAGCGCGAAAAGAACTTTCTAATTCCAAGACAATTTGACGATACCTTATAATTGCACAAACCTTTTCAGGAATTTGGACGTTCAAGCTACACATGAGATTTTGTAAAATTTCTTCACTCGTTTGGCTCAGCATGAAATTTGTTAGAAAATTTCTTCGAAATAATTTACGTGCTTTGTTTTACGTAATTACATAATCATTACGACATCTGCTACTAAATTCAGTCTGCTAGTGTAGTCAGGAAACGAAAGCAGAAAGAAGAGACGAGTTTAAAAATGAAGAAGAAAAGGAAAAGGAGAATATAATTCAAAATTTACAAGTACCTACTGGATGCGTCACTGGCTGGTTCTATGTTTGTAAGTATTTCTCCTCGTTAAGAAGAATAATTCCACGAGGGAAGAAAAAGGCAAGCAGGAAAAGGAAGAAGGAAACTTTAAATTCCCAAGTGCCTGCTATTTCTACTGTTAGTATTATTTTTCTTTCTTTCGGTCTTATATCGATCTTCATTCCATTGTTTCATTTCGACGCGAACTGAAGCTTTGGTTGAAAATTAAATAATTTTCAACTAAACAACTGTCATTATCACTGTTCGCTTTTATTGTTTTAAGGTTATGGGAACCGTCATCAAATCTGCTAATTATTCGACACGCTTTATGTACCCTGCTAATTCTCATTGTTTACCTTTGTATTAAATGCCTCACAAAGTACCGCGTTAGATTTGCATACGTTCATAAAATGTAACGTGTGTATAAAAGCTTTAAGGCTCACGTGGAATGCGCGAGCATGCTCGCAGATTCTGAATTGTGCGCATGCGCCAAACACAAGGCGGGATGTTGCTTCTTTCGTTTCCACTATTTCTCGCTTGATGCGTTCAGTAGTCGCGCGACCTTCAAGTGGTTAAGAACCCTTAAGCCCGGTTCTCTTGGCTTTTGTATACGCGAACGCATAACGCGATTAATAGTGGACAAAGGGACAATGTTAAACATTAAATGAGAATTGTGAGTAATAATTTTGGATCTTTGATTAAACAAATATTAAATTCTATTTTTGAATTATTACTAATTGTTTGATATTAATCTCGACGATTTTTATAATCCGTGATATATATTGATGCAGTCGACGAACAGAGCATAATAATAAATTTAATAGTTGAAGTGTTGAAGTGTTTTTTTTTAAGACTGGTAATACCTTTGCTAACTATTACTTTTGGTGGAACTGAAGACTGTCATTTTTATTTCTAGTTTTGGGATAACTGGTATTTGGATTTTTGGGATATTAAATTGCGTGGGCGGTTTAATCAACGTTTATGTTTTATAGAAAATTTTGGATTTGTGCAAATTAGTAATGATTTGCTTTGTGGTGTTGAGATGGTGATTTCGCAAAAATTATTAAAACCGGTGATTGTAAATCTGTTTTATAAGTGGTCGATTGATTTTAACCGATCGATCTGTAACGAGTAACGTAAATTTGTGAAAAATTGTAGATTTCGTGGACATTGGGGGAATCATTAATTTCATCATCGTATAACATCTCGACATGAAGGCGATTGAGTGAGTAAAAACAGCTTTTAAATACAATTTTTTTTAAGCGAATATTCACAAGGCAAAGGCAGATTACATAGATCGTACCAGATTGACAAGATTAATAGTATTTTCGAAGAAATTGAAATGTTTATCAAAACTTCCCGAAAGCTATACCGTAACCTAAAATTCCTTCGCAAGGATAAACGTCAGTTTTTTTAAACGGATTTACGAAATTTCAAATACTTCAACCGACAATCTAACTAAAACAATGTTACGCAGTTTATGATTTTCCATTAATTAATCAAAAATCACGAACCACTCGCTTTGTTCATCACAAACTCCAAAATACAAAAACTAGGTATTTCAGGCTCAAAGAGAAGAAATAAAACCAAAACCAGTAGTACGATACTTTGGCTGTACTCATTTTATGTCCCAATTAATCTGCATATATAACAGCCCCTAAAAACTAAAGGGTGTCTAAGCATAAGATTTTCAGCAAGCCCAACCCTTATCACTTCTATTTACGATATACAATTCCTTTTACAATACGAATTCTGCAAGTAAAAATTTGTCATTCACAAACGTTCGCATTGCCACCTAGCGACGCTTTTCAGTACTAAAATTTAAAAAAACCGACAAACAATTTTCTGCCGTCACTGCGCACAATTAATAGTTCACGAGGCTTTTATTTTAAGAAAATTTATCAGTCTGACCTCCGACCAAGAACCTCGTTTTCTGTGAAAAATTATTACAACCCTTTTAAAGCATGCGTTATAAAAATTTTACGTTCCATTTCTTAAACCATTGATGGCTACGGGTATAATGATTAATAAAATGTAAAATTAATGATTATCTGTCAAATGGACTATGATATCGTTAAATGAAATTGTAATATGGTATGTGTCAAATGGACTATATCGTTAAAATTTATATGATTTCGATAACAATCCATTATTTTTTTTTTTTTATAACAGCCTACATTTTACAACTGCACGATCAGAAGGAAAAATATTAAATTTAATATTCAGGTTGAATTTAATTAAGAATAAAATATAATGTCGAGCGTACTATGTTTTTCATTTTTATAATGAGATTTACGTAAAATTTACTTAACTCTGGTGCAATTATCAGCAAACAAGAATATCGTTAACAGAATAATTGTTATCATCCGCGTAAAATTAGATTTTCGATTTTCTTTTGTATTAGACGCAGCGTGAGCCTCGAGCTAAAAAGAGCAGCGCAAAATCTTAATTGAGAGGGTGACGAAGAGGTTTCGAAAATTTGTCAGGGTTTACGCAAGCACGCGATACCCTTGAATTGATAAATTTAATGTGGCAATTTTCTTCAATGTCAACCTGCTGAAAATTGCGTGATTAGGTAATAAACATTTAAGAAAATATTTTTTCGTGAAAAAATAAATTCATTTTTACACTTTTTTCTATTTAAATTATCGGCACGTGATCTTTGACTATTTTTGTATAATTAAAAAAAAAAATTTAACCTTCATCTATACCTATACTGTATGGTACTGTTACAAAACTATACGGATTTCTAATGCGACTCTATCGATTCTGGGAGATCTGGATAGATCAATATTGAATCTTTTTTTTTTTAAGATATACGGACTACTGACATTGATTAGAATCGAAAAGGGTTGACGGTCGTAAATCTTATAATGCTTATCCGGCCCAGCCACCTTTCTCACGTTCGTCAACCGTAAAGACCATTTTCAATCTTTCAAATTTACTTACAGTTAGGATATATTTTTTGATCGATTTTTAAAAATCATACTTAGATAATTAAAAGCCATACAGGATTTTTCAGGAGTATTATATCACCTGAAGATCATTCTGTCCAATTGATTTCTATTGATATCCATGGTAGAATCATGGAGGTGCAATATATATATATATATATTGGATATACAGGGTGTTGCAAAATTATCGGATCTATGGGGTATGGCGGTGTTTGGGAGTCATCACAGAGCACGAAAATGACCTTGTCCGGAGGATTTTGTTTTTCAAATGGGAACAGGTCAAAGTAGACCAATGAGAAGGAGACACCAATAGAAATGCTAGGCACTTACAAACTCTTACATAAAAAGTTACATAACATTTTATTTTCTTAATTATGTCTTTTTCATGATTTATTTATTCTTTGGCAAATCGTCTTACATCATTTTCTTTACCTGACAATTTCGTAGCTCCGTTGCTTCTCCGATACTAAGAAAAACCGTTCGTGCTCCCTTATATTAGTTGAACCGTCTGAAAAAAAAATATATGTCGTAAATTCATGCGAGACTCCCATCAATTTCGTGTGCCGCTTAAAACTTATTTAAGTTTTCGTATTTGTCGATGTCGTATCGTATACATTATCCAGCACGTCACCCTACGATGCGGCAAACTGAATCTGTCTAACTTGTTTAATAATTGAAGTTATTTATAACCATTCACATATACGTATTCGTCTATCCGTATCAGAGATGAATATTTACTAATTAGCAAGACACCAATGAATTGTCAAAATTTCAGTAGAAAACACCTACCTTGTACTTCAATATTTCTATTTTGAATATTTCAGCTCTTATGGTTAAGACATTGACATTTACATTAATTATTATTATTACCATTGACTTCATCATAGAACTTTTAATGATATTCATATCCCGCCGAAAACTCGATTCCCATCGGAATCCCAAACCTTAACCCTTCACTCCATTAACGACAGTGGCGTGACTTGCGGTAGTTTAGGGAAACGCAAGTATACTTTATAAAAAGTAATCTCAATCAGATCCCCGCGTTAACTAGTTCGTTGCATTTCTTTTTCTAGCGCAAAATTCGAAATGGTCATTAAGTTCTTTCTTATAGTTGCCTTTCACGAAGTGGTTACTCCTTTTTGCCACCATTGATAATTCCCACTATAGCCACCAGTTGTCGCCACTGGTACTTTACAAAGTTTTCAATTGATCTAGTCCCGCCGCGCTATATAATTCGTGTGGTCTATGGACGTAAGAATAGAACGAGCTCCAGAAAACATAAAGATTGATAGGTCAGACAGAGGGAATTGTCTGAGAGATGGCGATGAATTAGTGAACAGATGGATGCTCGGTAGAAGGAAGAAGACTATAGGAAACTGGTAATCTATACTTGACCCCGCTCAACCCCCAGTGAAGGGCTAATTTCCGTAAACGTGCCTTAATTAAACGTTATCTTCGTACACCGCGGTGAAGATAGCAACAGTGTTAGTGGGGTTTCTCGACCCATTTCGTTTGACAGATCGAGAATGGTCGACTCTGTTGGTCGATTAAGTAATACGGCGTCGATGAAGACGTTAGGAGGCTCGCCAGACTAATTGTTACTGGGGAATGATAGCGGAGTAGAGAAACATGAAGTTTCGGTAGAGGTTAGTAATTGCTTATTATATCGATGTAGTTTAATGAGATCTTTGTTATTTGACATTTAATATACACGAAGCTTCTGTCGTTTGCTAGTTATGGTTAACGTAGTAGAATCTTAGCGAAGTAAAGCTAACGTTAGATATACTTTTTTAGCCTGTTCAATCTGCTACATAAATTGGGATGAAAGTTTAATCTAATCCACAATTGCTGAAAGTGTTCATTGTCCAGTATTTTGTCGATAAGAATGGGAAAAAAGATTTCTTTTCATGGCCGAATGATTTCTCGCGTGCCAGATGACGGGTGGGACGAATATTTATTTCTATTCTTTGTTATATAAAGAACTTGTATATAGAATAGAATAAACCTCTTCGACTTTCGAATATTCTGCCATTATATTCTTTCGTATATTGGTTAGCTAGTACAGAGCGATGCGCAGAAGTCTAGTGCGCAGAACGATATTATTACGTCACGAAGACCATCTATGTAAACTTCGATGACAACATTGTGACGCGTGAACGTCGGATTATTCGAGTATTTTCATGCGTCTTCGGACGCTCTTTAACGTTAGTCTTACTGTCTTAAGATATATGGATTTTTTTTTTAAATATTATGGAAGAAATGGAATTTGCCAGAGGATTCTCGATTGCGCGCGATTCCTGGATTCGAGGTTACAATTCTTGGAGTCCGGTATAAAATTTCTAGAATCAGCCTTCGATTCGTGAAATCGACGAGTCTCGTGATGTCCTTTCTTGAAATGAGAGAGGTCCACGGTGTCAATTTAGCACGGACGCGAACCTTCGAAGGCTCTCGAGGTGTCAGTAAATGCCAGCGCGGGAATCTGTGTCCGGAACGTCCCTTGTTATACTACTGTCAGACGCTATTTTCATGAGTCACTGCGCAATCTGACGTTCACAGATATATATACGAAAGATCATCGATAAGTTGTCACATGATATTTTTGCCACCTTAGATTTATAATTCTCGAGAGACTTGAGTAGTATAAAAACTTGTATGCATTCCAAAAAAAAATCAAAACTAACCTAATTTTATCGAAGAGTCCGAGTGAGGCTCGAAAGGCGAGTAAAAATATATACAGAAGAAAGAACCTAGATAAAAACTTGACAAAATATTTCAATAATTCAAAAATGTCATTGAAGCCACGTGGCATGGCGATTTATCCAAACGACAGATTATCATCGACGAGATAATGGCGACGAGCAGTGCCGTTACACGTGGCTAAACGAAATTTAACCTAGGAAATGAGAACGTCACCGCAAACTGAAAAATCACCCACCTTAAACGCGCTACGTATGATTTAATAAATATGTCACGAAAAATGTGCGCGTAAAAAAAAAAAAAAAAAAAAAATGTAACATTAGCATTACGTATACTATATAATCCCAAGCTGCACCCTCGTCAAGCTATACTACATACAAGAACCTACCCCTTATTTAACTTACATGTTTAGGGTGTCAAAAAAGAAAACAATTAATTTTGCAATTGCATCCCTCAAAATGGCGGCCGGTATCATCAATTGACTAAAAAAATTTCCCGCTCTTATATTTCCTTGAACTCGATTAGTTCGTTCGCGAAATTTGTAAAAGAAATATCAAAGATTCATTTAGTTTCGATAATTTAACTAAAGCGATAATACGAACGTTATTTAATAAGGAAAAAAAAAAAAAAAAAATTTTTTCCACGCAGACCTATGTAATTTGACAAATTTTTTTTTTCGTAATTTCGTCTTGTACTTTATTGACGGTTATTTACATACCGAGATGACTGTATGTCGTCCGCAGCATCCGAAAGAAGAAAGTTCAGTAATGCCACCGGGTATATTGGATTCTCCTTACGTGCTTGATATTCCGAATAAAAGAAATAATTTTTTTGCGATTCAGTACATTGCCAAATTGATCCGACCCCATAAAGCATTGCCATTTACGTGTTAACTAATAGTCCTGAGACAAATTTCGATCAGTGTACCCGTTGTCCCTGAATTCAGCCACGTTGGTTCAGCTACGAATAATAATTGTCAAGAATACGAACTTTTTTCCCCGTTTCGCACTTTTCCATACTTCCTTTTTTCATCATCCTCGTCTCCTCATTATCTCACAAATTGAATTAACCTTCCTTTCCTCTTTCGCGTGTAAAACGGCGAATGTCAAGATGCAAATGACTTCCCTTCGGCGCAGCAAGGATGCTCACGCAAGAGGCAGCTTCGAATTTCATTTGAATTTGAACGCGATGCTCTGAAGTTACATGCAATTCTTTTCTCTTCTTTTTTTCCTACGTTCGCGAACTTTCGTCACACTTTCCGAACTGTTTATTCTCGTTGTTCCCAATCGATCCCGCTTGTTCTTATTATTTTTAGGCGCGATCGACCAGCCGTGTAAATTCTCGTTCCATCCGTTAAGTACGTGACGAATAATTCGCTTGGCAGCAACAGGGATAATGTCTCCGAGACGTCATAGATTCTTCCATTTTATTGGCTGAATTGTCTCGGGCATCTTTTCTCGAATTTATTTCGATAAATTTAGCTCGGGTCAATTCGCGCTACGTGTCTTCGTGAGGTTGGCATAAAAATAGCAAGAAAACAAAATAATAATAATAATTATAATCTTAACGGTGTGACGTCATATCGAGACGCGTGACGTCACAATAAGGGAAATCGCGCGCGTACGAAAATGTGAAAATTTTTGAAGCACGAACCTTAAATTTTTTTTTTTTTTTTTTTTTTTTTTTTTTTTTTTTTTTTTTTTTTTTTTTTTTTTTTTTTTTCTTTTCAGTACGTATACTCAATTTTCTATTTTGCATGTGATTTGTTGCTTTCTTACGTAACTCGACGCTCGCGTACAGAATAGTGTTTGCATATTTATTACTTTATACGATACACGTCAAAATCAATTTGCCGCTGGGTGAAAACTGTATTGTGCTTCGCGTTATGGAAACTGATATTTGGTAATAGGTGCGGTTATCGCGCTATCAGAGATTACCACTGAAAAAGTTTGACCAGTACAAACATATTGATCCGAACTTTATGGGTGATGTACCGTATCAAATATCGTTTGGCAGTAAGGCGAACGCAGTGGGTTTAGCGGGAAAAAATGAAAATGTTGAAAAATACGTTTGATGAGAAAAAAAAATGTTTATAATTTTAATATCGTTTAAGATATATAATAATTGGCGAGGTATCGAAGTTACGAGAAAAGTATTTTTTTTTTTTTTTTTTTTTTTTTTTTTTTTTTTTT